ATGTGGGCCAAAATTTTGAAGATCCTCGGCCGTTAGCCAATCAAAATCGAGGATCTGCCGGTCCAAATTTGTTGCGGTAGCTATGGTTAATGTTCAATTCCGAATTACCTACTGCGGCTCAGCACGACTCATGATCACGGGAATTTATCGCATTTATGAATTTTGTCAGTTACATTAAGTTTATAGCATAAATTATATTTATGGTATTTATGCCATTTATTTATAACACTTGGTTTTCTATTATAAATAAAGGCCGTGAAGGTCCTTAGTAACCAAGTTTCGTGCTAATTACAACCATCGTCCCTAATAAAGAATACCTCTTAATGCATATATCCTTTAATTACCTAAATAAATACGTCTTAATTAATGCTCAAGATCCTAAGTGGCATAGTGAAAGTTCTTCGTTCGCATAATTGTCTTGCTCATGCGACTTCGCAGCCGATTGTTGCCCGGTTGATTTCGACGCACGGAGGACTGCCGTGGTTGGTTTACAACTCTTCCAACGTACCGTGGATAGTTGTGGATGTTTTGTTCTTATTTGAAGTCCAAGAGGAAAGGTTCAAGCCGTGGTTTATTGAATTAATAGTATATAGAGAGTAGAGACATTTTGTATGACTTTCAGTTCCTGTTTTAAGTAAGAAGACATACCTACGACCGTAAATCCACTCTTTCGATCGTAGGTTACATGACGTCCCAGATTGTGAAACAACAGTACATGCATAATGAACTTTTTAGTTCTGTAAATCATACCGAATATGTAATAACTATAAAATGTATGGATCTTCCTGTAAAAGATTAATTAGTTCCCCTAACGCTAAGATTGCGTCGTATAGATATAAATTTCCGGGATATAAATTAATGTAAAAAGTACTGTACACAAATATCAATATGGCTAAACATGTTGCAATTATAGGCGCAGGTAAGATATTCACAAAATTTTAGAAAGCGTATTTTGAATACTGTATCGAAAAAAATAAATTTAATTATTCTCGAAATAAAATGATTTAATAAAATTTATGTTAGGAATCGCTGGTTTGACAGCAATTAAACAATGTCTAGACGATGATTTGATTCCAATTTGTTTTGAACAAAATTCTTTTATCGGTGGAATATGGAGATATGAAGATGCTTGTGAAAAAAATAACAAACCTTATTCTTCAGTTTATAAAGGTGTTTTAACTAATACATCTAAAGAAATGGTCTGTAATGATTTTAATTCTTGAAATTTTTTTTAAAAAAAATTGAATTCATATAAGTAATCTATCTATCTGGATCTCTATATTAGACGACATATTCTGATTTTCCAATTCCAACAGATTGGCCGACTTATATGAATTATTCACTAGTAGAAAAGTAAATATTTTTTCAGTAAATTTATTTTCTTATTGATGATTTTTCACAATTTTTTTTTATTTTGCTGAAAAATAGATACATCGATATGTACGCTGAAAATTTCAATCTTTTACCTCACATTAAATTGAATACTACTGTGTTAAAAGTATCAATACTCCCTGATAAACGGTGGAAAGTTAAATATATAACCCAAAATGAAAATGAGGAAAAAGAAGAGATTTTTGATTTTGTAATGGTTTGCTCTGGTCGTCATCGCAAACCTAAATGGCCTGAATTTAAAGGAATGAATTTATTTAAAGGTGAACAATTGCATTCTTATAAGTATAAACGGTAAGTTTATAGTATTTATAACTTATCTGTTTATGTATACCGGGTCGGGTGTTTCAAAGTCATTATGCGTATCCTTTTTTTTAAAGTGGCTTTATGCTGAAATCACGATAATTATTTATGCAAGACGTATATATTTTTACATACGTAAACTCAATATAAGATCGCTTTAAAAAAAAGGTGCATATATAAATAGCGACAATTTTGCAGATTTATGAAATTTGGCCTTTATTCAAATCTCCTAACGCTTAATCTATATGATCGAAATCTGTTATGTAATTAATAAAATGAGTAATGCCAAGAGAAATTGGGTTTACCCATTTTAAATTCGATGCCTATAAATCCGCCGAATTGACTTCTGAAACACCCTTTATGTATATTTTATTCATTATTTTTAATGTTATATGTTTAGAGCTATAGATTTTGAAAATAAACGCGTTTTGGTTGTTGGTTGCGCTAATAGGTATGAACATGACTTAAATTTTGTAATTATAAAATTCATATAAAAACTCTTATTCACTAATTTAATTTAGTGCATTGGACATCGCGGTTGAATTAACACATTCTGC